CCCCCCCCCCCCCCCAGTGAAAAGGCACTGCACCTGGAGTTGTTTTTTTTTCCAATTTTTCCTGCTGAAACCAGAAATTGTTTGAAGCTAGTTACAAGTGCATTATTATTATTTTATGATAGTTGTAGAAGAATGAATTTGCTGGAAAATATTTCAATGCAGACATGTGATGTGTGAGAAGTATTTATTCTCTCAGTCAGCAGACTCAGCTGCAACGTTGTTGTCATTCGATTCAGGACATGTACGTTACAAAAGCCGATTTTTTCTGACAAAACAACAAACATTTTTAAGATCTAGTTTGCTTTATACCATTCACTATTATAATGTAGTAATGCATGAGTCAATTCCAGGAGTAACCATCCCCCCCCCCCCCCGGGAACACACCCGGGCATTTGATTTGATTGGTTATGATAGTGTAAATGCCCGGGTGTCGGGACACAACTTGAAGACTAATGCACAGCCCCTGGGCAAGCTGAGAGTGGAAAATGCCCCACCCCGGGGACGATTTTACAGTCGATTTCACGAAACTTTGACCACAAATGTTCCGAACTTCGTTGCGAAGTTCACAAGTTCGTTGCGAAGTTCGGAAGCTCATATTGTAATTTACAAGCCAATTTGTAAACAAAGTCCTTGATTGGTCCGTGAAGTAAAAGAAGCCAATCAAATGCATAGTTTACGAACTGGTTTGTGAATCTCATTATGAACTTTTGAACTTCGCAACAATCTTGTGAACTTCGCAACGAAGTTCGGAAAATTTGTGGTTAAAGTTTCGTGAAATCGACTGTAAACGTTAATTAAACTTTTAATGGCATATAATCATAGTCATTTAATAACATTATAGCAGCGATGTTTTGCTAATTTTAGAAGAGGGGGGACGCTCTTGAAAATCAAATGGGCGTGGTCATTCGATTGGGCGTGGCCATTGGCCATGAAATTAAACAAGCGGGGATTTAGTGACTTTAGTCTAATAGGCAATTAGCTTGTCAAAATATGTCACATTGCTGTGGATGACGGTTAACGGATGGCTATGAAGCCAGTTTCAACTTCTGAAATTGAGTCTTCCACAGATTTTTCAGTAAAGAATTCAACGATTTTAGATCTTTTAGAAATCATATCTCTTATTAACTACAATGGTCAACAACCCATTTTACAATTTCTGGCTTAGGCTTGATTTTTATAAATTAGTATAGTCTTTAACGCAATCGCGAAATTAAACATTAAAATCATCAATGGGAACATAAAATGATTCAATAAGAACATTAACATGAATGGGAAAGATTCAAGGATATCTATTATCCCAGCTTATTTAGTTACTCGTGAAAACGTCATATTTAACTTGCAAAGTTGCCTATTTGCCAAGTTGTTTTTTTTTGTTTTGTTTTGTTTTTTTTTTTTTAACAGCTTTATTAGGAACTTAATATATTACATTAATAAGGTACAAATACAACAAACATGCAGTTCCTAAACGGGAAAATAACAAACGGGCCATAATAGCCCATGCGAGGCTACCTCCCGAAAAAGTTTCGGGAGGTAGAAGAATCATTAGGTTTTAAGAATCTTTTTGGTTGACTCACATAGCACTAATGCATCATCGAAATTGGAAAGTTAACATGGTTTTATTTGCTTTTTGACATCTACCGCGCGCAAGCTACGTGTTTTTCAGGTATCATGTTCTGCTAACTCCATGCATAAGGTAATTCAAATTATATCCCGCTGGGCTGCTGCCTGACGTTATCTCTGTGCTGATGACAATTGATTGTGAACTATCTAAGTGGACGTCAATCATAAGACTCTAGACTATTATTTTGTACTAGTCTGCTAGAAATTTCGGCAAATAACACGTATGTAGAACAAGTGATAGCCAAAATTATTTGGACGGTGTCGAACGGCGTTCACTGAACTTCGCTAATATTTAATCCCTGCCAGGGGGAACGGCGTTCCCCCATGTTTGATTTTGGCAAGGGGGACGCCGTTCCCCTGGTAAAAAAAGGTGGGGGGACGGCGTTCCCCCGCGTTCCCCCTGGAAAACATCACTGCATTATAGTATTAAACTGCTATGGAATATTATAAAACATAAACCTTTAATAGTTGTATTTAAATTTGCATGGCACAGGGTACAATTTTCGCTTATTCTTACAATAAATTTCACGCCACCTTGACCATGAGGGCGCAAAATACGATCAGCGCGCTCACATGCTTGCCTGAAACTATGTTTTGCTGCCTTAAAATTTGTGGGTGGGATTCTGGGCAACCATTTGTCAAATCCCCGGGGTCCTCCAATACCCGGCCCCTGTGCACATATATGAAAGGCAAATTCCCGACCCCCTTGAACTGTCTATCGGGCAAATTCTTGGGGGTGTCCCGGGGGGGGGGGGGATGGTTACTCCAGGAATTGACTCATGCATAATGAATGTATTTTAGAGATTAGGGAGCTAGCTAGTACAATGGGTATAATACTGTAATATTGCCGATCACTTGCAACAATATGGCACGTACAGTATGAATTTAGGGACCGTCGACAAATAGATTTCGTCCCGCATCGCGGACTTGGGCCGCGATGGGGGGAAGGGGGTAGATTAGAATCCGCGATTACAAAATATTTGGGACGAAAACTGACTTTAGAAATATAATACGAAGATCAGAAGAAAATGTAGTACATTTTAAATAATATACTCACAAAAAGTTCGGAGGCAAAAAGCGGACACAGCTCAACAACAATACTTCGTTTGATATTTACATTTCGAAGTACATAACCTATGCCCGAACCCATTACGGTTAATTCCGATTTGATATGTATTGCCGCTGGAATAACTGATCGCGGCCGAATATTTTGTGTTGACTTTTCTGACTAAGTTCGCAGTTCGACACAACCTTTCTTTCGTTCAATCGGGGATATAAATATTGCATTTGTGGACAACAAATCGGGTATTTATTTAAATTTTATGTTGCTTACAACTGCTAAACAATACGGAAACTAGTTTTTATTTATTACAAGCTGATTGTAATGTTAAAAGTCAGCATTACATACTGTATTCTTGCCTATAGTAGACCGCTCACAGTCATATTTCGGATAATATTTTGGACCATAATTTCGATTCTCTTTGGGTTTTTTACTTGTCCGCGATGAGGTAGGGGGGGGGGGAGGGGGTTCAAACAATCGCGGCCCAAGTCCGCGATGCGGGACGAAATCTATTTGTCGACGGCCCCTTACGTCTTGACCGTCTATCTTTTCTGGGTTTTCCTAACTTCACATTTTGCGCTAAAGTCTTCAAACACATTTGCTGAATGCGTAATGTTCTGAAGAAGAATGGAAAGCAGCGAGCATTGTGAGCTTGGGTTAAATCTGGCATATGTGATAGAATGCATCCTGCAATCCTGGGAGGAAGAATCCCAACTCAAAAATCTAGTTAACCCTGCTATCCTCGATAGGAGGGCACACGTTATTAACGAATCAAATTATTATTATTTATAATGAATCGAGATATGAGTAATGACGAGATTCGAGGACAATCATATCAGGACATTGAATCAAATAGGCGGAATACTGGAATAGGATCTAAACAGGGTTTACAACGAAGCATGAGAGAAACATAAACTTACTTTACGTAACACTGCCTCTCTTTCTGCGCGACGCTGTGCCTTCCTTGTGTCCAAATCTGACTTAGAAACAAAGTTAATCAAGTCCGCCATGTTTGTTTTGATGTTTCCACTTTCCCGCTTGAAGGATTCACAATTTAGAATTATTTTTGAATTCTGTCAGAAGTAACCTGGTTGTAATTCAAGCCAATCAGGACAATCAGGATTCAAAAAATCCAATTATTTGGCCTCTTGTGATAGATTTCGGCTACTAGGGCTACTTGTTTGGCTCCGAGCATGTGCAAGAACCTGCCAACCCTGATATATTCAACGAAACGCGAAGCGTTGAGGTGAATAACTTTGACGGCCAGCTAGGGAAGCACATTGGGGGCATTATTAGACGGGAGCATTATTTTCATCCAAATTCTTCAACTCAGTGCCGGAAAGTGGAGAAAATGGCATTCTTGTTATACTACTCTGTTACAGTTAAATCATGTTCTGTGTGCTATGTTTGGGTATTGTTTGCACTGAAAAACGTAACTATGAGTCCCAACTAAGCTGGAACTGATTAGCCCCCAAAATAAAATCTGTTCCGCTGCCACTGGTTGTTGAGTACAAGAAAGTCGATCCCAGATCGTCCGAAACTATGACGTCATATTTCCGCCAAAATTCAAGTTTTCTATTTGTGATCCTAGTTTGTGTATTTTGTTCAATTCTTAATACAACATTCAACTTTTCACAATTGAACATTCAACTTTTCACACAATTGAACATTCAACTTTTCACACAATTCAACATTCAACTTTTTTACGCAATTCAACATTCAAGCTGAATTACTCTAGTTTATACACTGTATTAGATTTGAGTTATTTTTATATTTTTGTTCGTATTGCTACAAAATATATTCTTACATGAAAATTTTGTATTGCTTTACTTAATTTTGAAAGACATCATGTTATGTCATACCGTTTCTGGTTGGTAATTTGCATATTAAATCCAACTTAGCCAAGCACAATTTCAAGAAATACAAGAATCATATGTATTGTTGGAAATATGTAATTGGCTGGCTGATTATTTATTTATTTATTTATTAACTTTGCCAGATTTAAACAACGTTAACACAAAAAACTGGCAGGGCAATCGCAACAGCTTGCGCCTATTACTGACCCGTTACTGCGATCCCTAAACGTTAGACAAATACACTATATACGTACATAGAAAGAATCAATTACTAACGAACTATCAGATGCAACTTTTCACATTGCGACCCGCAGAACCACTTCCATTTTTGGAAGCTGACTGAGTCAGAAGACGTTTGAAACCCTCACAATCCTAAACCTTCAGCAAAACCCTGAATAGGCCCCATAGATACCAATGTGAAAAGGTACTTCTGAAAACTAAATCTAAAAACAACACGTTATCGGCCTTGTCAGGTCGCGAGCTTGGTTGCATTTTAAGCAGACCGATTTCCATGTTCGTGGATCGTCAACGTCATAACATTTATCTAGTGCTGTTTTATAATAGATTAATAACTTATTTTTAAAGTCCTTTAAAGTTGCCATGCTATTAATAGTTAAATCCATTGGCAGTGTGTTCCAGACTCTAGTAGTCCTTATTAGGTATGATTTTTGATAGGTAGATGTTTTGCATGCTGAAGTCTGAAATTGTAGGCAGTTAGGGTTTGTAGATTGGGTACGTTGACATGAATTTTGAGGGTGTGGTAGTATCATAGAATATATAATCGACCAGAAGTCTCACTGTACACCTTTCCTTAACATTTTCGTGTCCGCGATTTTCGCCTTGCGGATCACGAATTTCGCACGCTAGATGACGTGTGTGACACTTGCTGCGAACATCACGTCAGCGTTCGTCAGCAAAACGGTTAAAACAGCAATCTTTATTACCTGGTAATGGCAATTGATGGCGTAATTGCTCGCGTTTTATGGCGTGGATTACACTTGCTGGCTCGCGCCTGCGCATAAAAAATCTCGGACATAATTTTGGCTGAGTGAGGCTTCTGGTCTTATTTTCTATTCTGTGGTAGTATGTCGCTGCTTAGGTTAATAATGTCATGGTGTGATTTGAAAAGGAACAATATGTCTAGGTACTCGTGCCAGTAACACAGAGGTAGTAGATTTAATGTTGAGAGACGATGGTTATAGTTGATGTCACAGAAGAACGGTAGGTTCAATATGTACTTCGACGCACGTCGTTGAACGCGTTCTGTACGCTTAATGAGGTCAACAGTTTGTGGAGCCCAAACTTGGGACGCGTATGCGAGGTGGGAACGAACGAGGGTAAGATATAGAGTCCGACGAACAGAGATGGTCTTGATTTTGATCGTGGACCGTCGAATATACCCGAGGGATTTGTTGGCTTGGGCGCACTGGTGGAGGACTTGTTTCGACCATGCGAGGGTGGAGGAGGTCCAGACGCCAAGGTCACGTTCGCAATCTGTGGTTTTCAGAGCGGAATCTTGCAACTTGTAAGTATGGTCGATTTTGTTGCGTTTTCTAGTAATTCGAAGTGTCTTACATTTATCTGTGTTGAGGAGAAGATTAGAATTGGCAGAGGAGGTTTGAAAATTCGCAAGATCATTCTCCATAGCGGATGCATCAACCTTCGCGTTTATCACCTTGTAAATCTTTGTGTCGTCAGCAAACGTCGCGATCTTCGAGTGGTTGATGGAGTTGGGGAGATTATTCTGATATAATAGGAACAGCAGTGGTCCAAGGATTGAGCCTTGGGGAACTCCAGAGGTTACTGGTAGTGCTGATGATGTTGCACCAAGTACTGTAGTCTGCTGCCGACGGTCCTTGAGGTAAGATCTAAACCAGTTAAGAATATTGCCACCGAATCCAAAATCACGAAGTCGTTTCAACAGTTGCATGTGACTTACTCGATCAAACGCCTTGGACATATCCAAGTACATCACATCAACTTGTTTCCCAAGATCCAGCTCACGACCAATATACTCAAAGACTTCAATGAGCTGTGTAACACAGGACTTCCGAGGAACAAAGCCATGTTGACCGTTGTTAATCTGTTCGAAAACGTGGTCTTTGATCTTATTGAACACGCATCTTTGCAATGCTTTCGAGATAAGCGAAAGAAGCGAAATTGGTCGATAGTTTTCTACGTGCTCTTTGTTGTCTTTTTTGTGGACGGGAACAACATTTGCTAGTTTCCAGTCGAATGGTAACACACCAGTGTTCAGAGATTTATTAAACAGGGCGGTTAGTGATGGAGCAATTTGGCGAGCTGTTTCTTTTAATAATCGTGCAGGAATCCCATCTGGACCTTGAGCTTTATTAATGTCGAGATTATGCAATACGGAGAAAACATCGGCTTCCGAAAGGGTAATATCCTCGATGATAGTATTGTTAGACTGATATGGAAGAGCGTCAGGGCTGTAGTTTTCGATATTTGGATCGGTAGTAAATATAGATGTGAAGTAGTTGTTGAAGAGCGTAGCAATATCTGCTGGATTTCCTGCGGATGTTCTTTTGGTTTCAGTTACTTTCACCGAGAGCTTTTGAGGAATGTTCCGTGTCTTATTATTGAACTTGAACAGGGACCAGAAGCGTTTGGGATTAAGTGCACGGCTGGAACAAATAGAGTCGAAATATTTGGAGCGACTGTTACGTAACATACTCTTGATGGAACTACGAAGGGTTTTGAATTTTTCCAGGAGATATTCAGTAGGTGTAGGGGATTTCTTAATTCTGAGGCGGAGAGAGTTTTTCTTCTTGATGTTATGTAGAATTGTAGAATTCATCCACGGTACATAGTTGCGACCCTTTACTCTCACTGATGGTGTGTGTTGGGATACTGCTTCTAGGAACGCCTTCTTCCATTGTTGCCAGTCGTGGTTGATATTGTCGTCGGTTGTAATCAGGGAATCCAGATTTAGACATTCAAGGGAAGTTCGTAAGCCAGCAAAATCACCTTGACGATAATTATAGACAGTTCTGCGTATCTTTGGTAGTTGATTATAACACATTGAAAATTCAAACACAATAATGTTGTGATCGGTGAAAAGTTCTGCTTGAGTGGGAGACAAAATTTCACATATTTTGACTTTGTTGGGAATATTGGTAAGAACGAGATCTAACGTGTTATTATCTCTAGTAGGTGCGGTGTTTAGTTGTTCCAAGAAATGGTCATGGAGCAGTTCTACGAAGGTATTTTCGTTACTACCTGATGTTTTCTCTGGCGAGTCCCATGATATACGTGGCATATTGAAATCTCCTGCAAGCACAATGTTTGAGTGTTGTGAACAAACATCACTCATAAAGTTATTGAACTTGTCCAACCAGCTATGATCTGAGTTTGGTGGACGATAACAAGAACAAATTAATAAACTTGCGTTTGAAGTGGTTGTTATTTCAGCCATGGAGATCTCCAAATCATGACCATGTTGAATTTCCCGCACTGATTTAAATGATGAAATCTTTATCGCTAACAGTACTCCACCACCACGAGATCCGCGATCGTTCCTGAATATGTCATATCCCGAATGCAGAATTTCAGAGTTTTTAATATCCTCATTAAGCCACGTTTCGTTGACACAAAAGATATCGGGATCTTCAGAATAGACCAAGTTCTGGAAGCGTTCAATGTTAGTATCTGTCAAATTGTTTCCGATGTTGGTTTTATGTAAACTCATCAGACTTCGAGCATTGAGTGCGAGACATTTTACGAACTGGTTTTCACGATTCGTGTGTTTGTAAGGTCCAGGATTCGTTGCGATATCTCCGGCAAGCAAGAGTAGTATAGACGCATGTGAGATCTTGCGGTTAATTTGTAAGTTTAAGCCGTAGCGATGCTGGTTATTGCATGGTAAGTTATACTTTCTGAAAACAACATCACGGGTGGAAACCCAAACATAGCATAGTTTTTCGGGCAGAGAAACAAGTTCGGGGCAGATTAAAATGTTTCCTGATGTAATTTGGGTCTTATTAGCGTTTCGATTAACTTTCACAGACAGTTTCAAAATTGAAAAAAGAAGTAACATGTTAATTATGAAGCGTCCAATCTTAACTAGAATTTTCTTTCCATCTAAAGTGTTTTTTAAAACCATTTCTGAATTCAAAGCTTACACTCACGTGATTTATTCTGTTTGTATTAATTTATTGAACTCACGTAGTTCGATGACGTACGGATTTAATTACGTGTTTGCGATGACCGTTGATGACGATGACGTGTGGCGTAAGCAAACGGCCAACTGGCGTAAAATGCTAAAACAAAAATCCCCTGACTTTCGAAGAAATAAAACACTCCAAACGACGCTTTCTTGAATGAAACTCTCCAGAAATTCACAAGTCCAAGTTCCTGACACTCTTAGACGACTTTATTATACGTTTTTACTCCAAAACAGTGTTTTTGGACTACTAAAAAAGCTCATTTTTAAGGAGTTCCCTCGCGCGCACACGCACGCGCGAGGATGACGCGAGGAAGAGTTGATATAAGAGACTTAAGTTTTTGTCTTTGTTTAAGTTTTTTCAAATTATTTAATATCCATTTTAGTTAGTGATACGCATTACTGTTTTTGCATGCACTTTATACCAGTATATCACTGATATATTTCCTTTTTTTCAGTTTGAAAGATCACAGATGAAACAACTTCCATGATTTGAACAACTTCTACAAACATTAACTTTAATTGTAATGCAAAATGGGAATATTTTGTAATATGGAAATTTTTTGTTAATGTAGACATATGGTGACAAAATGTTTGTGATGAAAATGTCTTCTATAGTAAATCTAGTTGTTCCACATATCCAAGAAATTGTGCGGTTGTGCACACTTTTTTGCAGTTGTGAAAACTCACAACTGCAAAACCTCTACCTTTAAGCCTGAAAAGCACAATAGACATGCTTACGTCTCTTTCTTAATGGTTCTATTTGGCTGCTGAAGCATAATTTAAGAGAGGTCAATTTGTGCATATTTTCAGAATTCAAAAAGTGAGAGTCATGGACACATAAACCTTAACTCTTTTGAGCATTCATAACTTCAGCTCCAACATTTCCATGGCAACTACATATCGAACATCTCGGCAAAGGTTAGGCCATCAAAGCTAACGACTCAGCTTTATGATGTATAAAACCTTTGCAAAGACATATATGAAATGTTTTTTGAAGCTTTTCAAGATTGAATTGTATAAATGTATACTTAAACACAACAAAAACATCTCACATTACAGATTAGATGACAAACTGTACATGTTCTAAAGCTTGGTTCACACTACCAATTTTGTAGTTGATTTTCTATTCTTGATGGATGCGAATGTGTGAACTTGCACACAAACTATAGAATATTTTATTGCTATTCAGAAATATATATTTCTTAGTCTAAGTCAACCTTGAGTCTAAGTAGGGCACATTGTGGCTCAATGGGTTAACCTAGAGACATTGTCAGATTTTTTGGTAAACCATTGAGCTGCAGAGCTTCCCCATCGATGAGTAAAATTGTCTGGTGTTAGATAGTCTGGCATAATGGAAGTGAACAGTGTTGTTCATGATGCATGATTCCAATAAAAACTTGCTTTCTGTTCAGATAGTAGATTATTCCAAATGTTGACAGGTGACAGATATATTCATCAGTGGTATGTCCGTTACATCTGTACATCCAAAATGGTCATAAAATTTATATTTATTCAACCTTCACCATATATAATAATATTAATGGGGTGGATCCAGCATGATCTGGTGGGGGGTGGTGCTCTGCCAGCTCTGGTGCCAAGTTGTGTCGGTGATGTGTCCTGCCCGCCCATCAACTTGCTTCGCTACTGCAAAGTCTTGCTTGACTACTGTATTTGAATTGTAATTGTTGTTCACAGTTCGCTTATCATCAGTTATCACTGAAATTACTGTATCTCATTTTGTCTCTAATAATTTTTTGCTTTATCATGAAATATGGCAGAACCCCCTGCACCCCCTCTGGCCAGGGCTAGGGGGTGCATCCCTCTGGCCAGGGCTATGGGGTGCACCCTCCAGTAAATCGACCCTGAATATTAATAATAACATGGATACAATACATACATTACATTATAAATATATAATACGACCGTATACTAATGACAATTGCTGTGAAAGCACCACAACAGTTAAAATCAATTACTGTGGGCCTTTTAACGACAAACATCTAGAAACAGCAGTTAATAACATAGTTCAAACTTCGACAACCTTTATAGTTTAAACACAGATTTCCATGTTCTTGCATCCTCTGCATCAATGCAGGGCTTTCGAGTAATAGCCTCCTAACAATCTCTTAAATGTATTTGTACTTTAAGAATGTGTTAGGTTCTCTTAAGTCTGCTGGAAGACAGTTTGTTACACATGAGATTCATTATACAAGCTCTGGAAAGTGCTAGACAAAGTCCTGCTTTCTGTGGGTGGAAAGATAAAATGTTTATACCAGATGATCTGGTCATTCTTGTGGGAATTATGGGTTTGGGGACAACATCTTCAGATATGTCCACCATACCATTAACTGAAATGCCTTTGGGCTATCTTTCAATCAACTCTACCAAGATGTATAGATCTCATATTAAATCTGTAATGCAATAATACACATTTCCTTTGTCCTGAAGTGTTGCACACAAATACGCCATGTTTTATGAATGTCAAACAAGCCATGAACCCAACTGACTCAATATTGTAAAAATTAATTTTGGGTGCCAATCAGCCCAATGAAATAATCTCTTCTTTCCCTAAAATCAGTCCATTCCTCATACTGGTCATTGCCTCATTGGGTTCCATCAGCTATATACAAGACACAAATAGATAAATTTCAAGTACAATATTAAAAACATCGACAATAGCGTTTGGTTGCCTGCTGCAATTTTAAATACAAGAATAGAGTTTACTTAATAAAGCTCTAGAACTCGGGCATTGTCTTCAGTGCCATCAGTGATCAGTGGTATATTTAATATATTAAACATGTCATTGCAAATTGCAGAGAAATTAACTTTCAAAGACTTTTCTCGTGACTAAATACTAAGCAGTTAGACCTAGTGTAATGGTTCAAACATTAAATGAACATTCCCATGCATAAAATTGTCAAAGACAGTTATAAAGCTTACTTGATTCGAAAACGCTTGAAATTCATATAATTGAATCGATTATTGTTCGACACTCACGCCCGTTTTATCCAGTATAAATGCGCGGAATTTCATCCATTACACCTTATTATCATTTAGAAATGTGTGTTCTTTCATCCCCTATAATTTTTATGGCGATTCGATGAAATTTGAGCGTTTTATTGAAGTTTTCTTGCATCGACTCGGTGTTTCGCCATACAATTTACTATTAGCTTGCTGCGGTTTTACTTGGAAACAAGACGCCTGCTCAGGCGTTCACACTGGCCTGAAAATAACGAGATACATGCTATCGTGCAAAAGGCAAGAATACAAATCTTAAACCACAAGCAAATTTTATGGACTTTTTCAAAAAATAAAAGGCCTTTTCGGTAGACGTAATGGACTAATGGTGCAAATCTATGACTAGGAGTTACTATCGCAAGGAAAGTGTTGCCTTTTTGGCGTATGAACTGAATGCAAAAATTTATACTTCTAGACAGTTCTCGGTTATACGGCCCAATGTTTCCTTCTCGTTCATCATTTAAGCCTGTTCATAAACTCATTCTTAAATTGTGTGCACGGAATACGTCGAGTAAATAGTCAACATGAAAATGAAGCCATTGGGTCAAAAGCAGATATTAAGGTCTATTAACCTATTAGCTGCCAGTGCACACTACTTTAGTATTAACTCTGACTAACGCCAGACGATTTTACTTGTTAGTGGCAGAGTACTGACAGTAAATGGGTTAACAAACACATCTGCCAATGTCTCTTATTAACCCATTAACAGGCAATGCACCCTGCTTTAGTATTCTTTAGTAACTCTTCAGAATTTGCTCAGAGTCAATGTGAGTAAAATACATCTTGTATTCAAGCGCTTTCATGTACAAAGTTTCGTTTGAATACGGCACAGAGTAGGAATATTTATTTTGAAATTTTCAAAATATCGGGTTTTTAATTGCACGCACTTTTATACCTCGATCGATGCACGTGCAAATAGTCATGCCGACCTACAGAATCGATTTCCGCTTTTTCCTAACAGCGCGTTGTTTTGATGTACGTTCCATGGGCCGCGCTAAAAATATAAATATTCTGTAAATACCGAAATAAAAGATGAAAACCTCAAGACACAAGCTTGAAAATAACACTATAAATAGTGTTTTCGATTCTGGTTCCAATAATATTATTACGAAAAAGATATGTCCAAAGGGGCCAAAGTTATGTTCGGCAAAATATATGGCTAGTTTACATTGTTTGTTATATTATGAAATATGATGCCATACTTGTATTAAAATTCGCGTCGAATTAGGCAAATGAGTAGACTTGCCACAAGTCGACCTCGAACGAAATGCATGCGCTTCTTCGAGGTCGACTTGTGGCAAGTCTAGCAAATGAGAACCATACAATAATGGTTCTAGTTCTTGTTGGTATTTTGAACGCACGCTTTATCTTTAGTATAGCTACCACAAAGCTTTTCGCGCGGATTATATTTCGCACAGTACTAAAATTTCAGCGGCCAGCGCTACGCGAATTCTCTTAATTCTAGTACTGCGCGGATTTTAATACATGTATTTAAAGGTATATGTATCGTAAGGAATTAGGAGAGTTTGTCCTTGTTTATATTCCAATATATTGTATAAATTCGCTGCCTCGCTGGGTACAAATTTATGATTGTATAAATTCGCTGGGTCCAAATTTTGTGGTTTTCGAGTCGTTACTGAAAGAAAAACACATTAATTCAACACGCAAGAAAGTCCAGAGTACGACAACGTAAAATCCATAAGAAACCGGCACAATTCTTTGAAAATTCAACGAGACTGCGTAAAATATAGTTTGATCACTCTGTGAAAAGCCGCCATTGGAGTTCGGAATTGTGCGCGTGCGTACAAGTGTATGGGCTAATAAACGAAAAATGTACCACAAGCATGGCATGAGTCGGCTATTACGTACAAATATGCGAGATTATTACTATACTATCTAAATCATCGAACCGAGGGAATCGATGGCATTTTGGCTTAATCGTTGCACCTTGAGCCTGCGATGAGCTAACGCAAACTCGATTTCTCGACTACGAAAAAAACAGAAAAAGGGGGATTTAAGACACTTGGCCTACAGGCCAGTGTAAAAAGGTGCCATGTCGCACACGAGAGTGGGACTTCTGTGTAGGCTCTGTGGTATAGGTCCTTATTCTGTGGTCAACAGTCAATGAAGTCCAGTGTTTCCACAAGGCATCATTCAAATTTCCTTGATTTTGCTTTAAAATTTCCTTGAATATCCTTGAAATGGGATGTAATTTCCTTGAAATTTCCTTGAAATATATTTCGGCAACTAGAATTCATCAATACTTATATAAAGTAAGACAGAAACAGAATGGTATATTTCATTCGTTCAACTCTTAAATCAAAGCCTTTACACAACAATTTTGAAAGCTTTAAAATGTAAAATACTAGAGTTTTTTAAAATATTGTTCTCAATTGTCAACAAATTCACACGACAAATAAATTCATATAACCAACACGTGGTAGCCTGCACACAGCACGCTAGTTGATTTCCGCCTAAAATTCAGGTTGTGTGCAGCCTACTTAGTTGAATTAAAATTCTAGATTCTACTGACTCGTTTACAGGCTCCGAAAGAGGTTTTTTCATTTTTGCACACAGACATATTGGGCCAAGTAAAAGAAATTAGTAGTTTCTCGTCCCCGCGCGCATGCTTTTTTGCTGCCGCGTACGGTGGCCCAGACGCGACAGCACAAAAACAGTTTTTGTATTTTTTGATTTTTTGATTTTTGTATTTTTTGATTTTTTGATTTTTTGATTTTTTGATTTTTGTATTTTTTGATTTTTTGATTTTTGTATTTTTTGATTTTTTGATTTTTTGATTTTTTGATTTTTTGATTTTTTGATTTTTTGATTTTTTGATTTTTTGATTTTTTGATTTTTTGATTTTTTGATTTTTAGATTTTTAGATTTTTTGATTTTTTGATTTTTTGATTTTTGTATTTTTTGATTTTTTGATTTTTGTATTTTTTGATTTTTTGATTTTTTGATTTTTGTATTTTTGTATTTTTTGATTTTTTGATTTTTTGATTTTTGGATTGATTTTTTTTCCTGTATAGATATACATACTGTAGCACTTGAATGAGCGGGCAAGGTTACTGATAATGGGTATATATAACATGATCGAAGCTGTGTAACACAAAATTAAGGTTAAGGGTTAGGTGCCGCGAATTTGCCATTTATCATGTTGATAAATTCGGACGCGTTTAACAATTTACTGGTATAATAAAATTCAAATGTGGAACTCATGCTGTAAATTACACTATACGTATAATCTTGATCAAAAAATTTCCACGACATATGGCGCCGGAAAATTAGCGCCGGAAATTTGGTGCCGGAAAAAATTTGCGGACATAAAATCGTTTATTTTTTGCCGACAATTTTCTTAATTTTTTGAGATTTTTAGATGTATTATTCATCTGGGTACTGGGATTTATATTCTGAGTTCATCAATCTTGCATCAATAAATTTTAAGGGTCCCTTGTTTTGGAGCCCCGCCCGAGATAAAGTTCCACTCTGCCTCTCTCCCGGCGATCCTGCATGCAGTAGATGGAAATTTATAACGAAAGATTCAATATATACAATTTTAGACTTAACTACAGGAGCAGCTGCGAAAATGCTGTCAACTGACAGGAATCGAACCTGTGGCTAAATATAGAGATTTTTGGGAATATGACGCTGTAAATCTCAATTTGCGCTTGGGATTTTTCTTGAAATTTGTGCTTGAAATTTCCATCCTACATAAATCTTTCAATCTGTTCATATTTTATATAATGGCATCACTTGTACTATATACTGTATATAAAAAAGAACTTGTGGTTGGAGCTCAACAACTGAACTCTATAACTCAGTTGGTTAGAGCACTGCAACGGAATTGCGGGGCCGTAGGTTCGATTCCTGCTATAGTTCTATTTTCCGCAGCTGGTTATAGGTCTAAATTAAATATATGTATGAATCTTCCACTCGAAATGTTCATCTACATAAAGCCTTCAATCTCGGGATCAAGTGGTCTTAGAATCAGGGGCGTAGGAAGAGGGGGGCAGAGGGAGCGCGTGCCCTCCCTCCCAAATTGTTTCAAAGGACGAAAAGTGTCCCTTTTTGTGATGAAAAGTGCCCTTTTTGTACAAGCTAATGTCTCTTGTAAATACTAAATTAACATCAAAGGTGCCCTTCTTGTTTAGAAATTTCGATGTTTTTTTTAAAAATATTTGGTCAAAAACGTGCCATTACGTTATAATATGGTATTACGGGAAAACTTTTCTTAAGCTACTAGTTGTCCAATCGACGTGTGTGGTGCACCGCATTCTGGTTTAGAATACTTTATTGTACATACATCAAGTTTTATACTACAATATATATACATGATCACTGTTTAGGGAAATTACATTTATTATGGCGAGGGGGGGGGGGGCAGATGGATATGTCTTGAAAAAAAGCTCATATTTTTACAGGGCCCCTGTTGAGATTATTGGTAAATTTCCGATGCCCCCCTCCAAGTTTCTAAAATTTTCAATGCCCCCCCCCCTCCAGAATTCGGAATTGAAGCAGTACAATCCGGAATTCTCTCTTATCGTAGGCATCATATATACAATTTGCAGGTCCTCAAGATGTCTGATATACTCAAGCATGTACTTCTCCTCAACTAAAATACCGACCTACTGCTTCTTTCACCTTACTAGCGCCAGATTAAATGGCACCCTTTAAAAAAAACATTTTAGATTGGTGCCAAAAAAATTTAAGTGAGCTATAGGTGATTTCATGTATCCATTTATAGAAGAGCAGACTAAGGATATCTTGAAACTGAAATCGGTTTCGAATACAACCATCAGGGACCTAGCAAAGCATCTGACGTTTGGGGGGGGGGATGTTGGGGCATTATACATGTAATAATAATAATAAAGCTTTTTGTGATTGATTGGCACTCTCATATTAAGTTTTGGGAGAAAAAGGGGGTGAAAAATTCTACGACTGAATTTCTGGCGTGTTTTAAAGCAAATTCGCAAACAAATATCATGCAAATTGACTGTATTTTACAAAAATGGTTATCATTTCACAAAAATAATTACTTTATTACGCAAATTTTACCTGAAAATGTCAAAATTTTAACTTGAATTTTATATATTTTTGTCTGAATTTCACAGTAGGGGGAGTTTTCAAACCATCTATCCATTAACTATGTGGGAGTGAACACTCCAGGCCACTGCTGGACCAAAACTTTGAAAAGTTTACAGCCCCCCCCCCGTCAGTATATCGAGCCCCCCGTTTAATGCCAGATTGCCAGAGAATATTTCGATGCCCCCCTTAACATCCTCACCCTCCCCCCCCACCCTTCAGCATAATAAATGTACTCCCTTATTTATTTATTTATTTATACACTAATACTCTTGTCCAGACTTTATATTCCTGTTCAAGTTTAAAAATAAAAGTTTAAAAATAAAAGTTTAAAAATAAAAGTTTGAAAATAAAAGTTTAAAAATAAAAGTTTAAAAATAAAAGTTTGAAAATAAAAGTTTAAAAATAAAAGTTTAAAAATAAAAGTTTAAAAATAAAAGTTTAAAAATAAAAGTTTAAAAATAAAAGTTTAAAAATAAAAGTTTGAAAATAAAAGTTTGAAATTCGTTCGTAGTCAGGAAAAAAGCCCGCGAACACCGCCTTCTACGCAGGCTGATATTTACATTTCAAAAACGTATTAAATTTGTGTGGAAAACACAAAGAAAAATCATAACATAAGCGTGTCGTTTACATGTGATAGGGATTTCCCTTGATTTACATAAACTTTAACTTTGATTTTCTCGACTTACACAACGTATTTTTTGAAAATTACTTCGCCATGACCGTAGTATAGAGCGATCGTTTTTGAAGCAATTTAAAATACAGTGCCGATGTCTTCTTTATTATCAGACCTAAAGAGTAAAGATATTCGGCTTCGCCTCCTATTTTATATCTGATAAAACACTGCTGATCATGTATTAAATAGTACTAAAAAACTCATTTAGATAAACTTTAAGTTAAATTTTCTCACCAAATATCATTCATTGAATATTTAAAATTGTTGAAGAATACGAATGTTCTCAAACGTTTGATCACAAGCCATACGAAGTATCGCGTACATGTTGTGACATTGTTGTCCCAGACATACACGTACCTCTTGTCTTTGGCTCAAGTTTGTACATTTGATACAACACGGCCGCTCATGCTTTATCTAGATTGTCGACATAAAATTTACATCCGCAGTGCGTGTTTTATCAGACTTATAAAAGATACTCGGCTTCGCCATGCATGTCAAGTCCGCGTAATGTAAATAAATCCTTCGACGCTTTGTTTATATTTTGGACTGCTATATATTTGTAAAATAAGACATACTATTAACTAAATATCTAACAGTTTTCTGGTTCGCTATTGTAAATGAATATAAACTAGAGCACGTTTCAATTCAAAACAGTTCGAAAAATGCAAAATTTGGGCAATATTTATTTCTGTGGGTCGCCCTTTGTTATGAACAGAACTGATGTGCAGAACGAACTTGACAAGGTCTTTAACCATTAAAAAAATCCAAATATATATCAAAATCAAAAAATCAAAATCAAAAATACAAAAATCAAAAAATCAAAAAATACAAAAATCTAAAAATACAAAAACTGTTTTTTGCTGTCGCGTCTGGCCGCCGTAATAACTTCATGCTTGTGCTAAAAACAAATTGACATATCTTTGTTTTTATGGTTCGCGATTTTCTGGCTATGCATGCATGACTATGAATATTATATGATAGCCAGATAGGAGTATAGTACTCCTCTGCATTTTGAGAAACTAAGCCAGCGTGTTAAATTAGTCAACTTAAGTCTTAACGCTTATAATTAATCGTTATAATTAGCCGTCCACATTCTTGAGAAGCTTTAGACTATTGTGATTGTGTTCACAACGAACAATAGAAAAGACAATGTCTTTCTCATCATTTGCGTTTGCTGAATATTAATGATATGTATATATTAATTGCCACGAATACAGTCAAAAATTGCTTGTATTTCGCTTCTAAAGTCAAAAATGAAAAATCGAACACCGTCAATCGATGCGGAATATTGCTTAGAATAATTATGTCAAGTTTCATTCCGATCGGACAAGTAATGACGGAGCCTTAGGGTTTTTTCAAAGAGCGTCGCCCCCTAACAACAACAACAACAACAACAACAACAACAACAACAACAACAACAGCAACAGCAACAGCAACAGCAGCAGCAGCAGCAGCAACAGCAACAGCAACAGCAACAGCAACAGCAACAACAACAGCAACAGCAACAGCAACAACAACAACAACAACAACAACAACAACAACAACAACAACAACAACAACAACAACAACAACAACAACAACAACAACAACAACATTAGCAGCGATTGGTGACCAGTTCCTGGTCCAAAAATGTTAAAAAATTGAAAAATTAAAAATATCGTGTTGTCATGGCAACACTTTACGAGGCTGCGTTCAAGTATTGGCCATTTCCAAATACTTCATGTTTATTCGATGTTTGGAAAATATATAGGCGAGGGGTTGCTGCATGCATGCATTTCTAGTTAGAATGCATTTTCAAATCCCAGAAGCACATGCAAAAAGTAGCACAGACATTGAAATGCTAGAAAGCAGCAGAATTATGCAAATTATAGTGTTTCCAGGTTTTTTGATACACGCTCTTAATTAAAACTCTTAAGGCAACAAAAACCACACGGTGAAATTTAAAGAAGAAACATGGAAATAGATTAATATCCTGATATCTGATGTTTGTGATGTTACTCTGAGTCCATGTATAGCCACACCGGGCGAGCTTGAAAAATACGCCCGGCCACGGTGGGAATCGAACCTACGACCTTTGCAATACTAGCCCAATGCTCTGCCAACTGAGCTGGCTGCGCGGTCAGGAACAGAATCTAGTTCCTTCGTAATACCAATGTAATCTAGTAGTACGATTTTTCTGTATTGGTGTAGTGTACTCAGGTGAATATGTTTGTGATGTTACTCAGAGTAACATCACAATTAAACATCATATTCACCTGAGTACATAATTTTTTCTTTTTAAACTATATAACAATGAATTTCCGAAATATATACTGTAGGTGTGTTGTTCTGGATTTTGTGAACTTTGATTTAATGTAAAATTTAACCTGAATCGCTTCGTAAAATGCTTTGAAATGTTCATGTTAATAACTAAACTGCTTTGGCCGATAAACTGTTTTTATTTCAAATTGTTGAGTAATTTCAGTTAGGTCTTCAAATTAATTTGCTCTCCTCTATATTTAGCTTTTTTTCTTAAATTAAGCAGGGTAATTTAGGAAACTTACTG